GATAGATAGATAGATAGATATAGATAGATAGATATAGATAGATAGATAGATAGATAGATATAGATAGATAGATATAGATAGATATAGATAGATACCTGCGAGGCGAAGCTGCAGCTGCTGACCCGAAATCGCACTTTGGCGGTTCATGGGGATGGGTACCTGGGGAAACCCATAGCCGGTACCCGATGAGTCATAGCCGGTAAAGCTGGAGGGTGATTCCCCCCAAAAATATGGCAATCATATGGCTTTTGATGAGTTTTGATCATATGGTTACTATGGATTCAGGTGATTTTGGGATTGAAGAGTTGATTTTTCTTTGACTGATCCCACTAGCAGAACACACTTCTTCCGCAGGTGACATGGTATTTCACTAGCAGCATCATTTTTTCACAACATTGGAGCTGGTTTCACCTTGGTTTCAGTGTTTCGCCAGGTGTTTCACCTTAGGTCGACGTCCCAGCACCAAGGTTTTTGGCGCTAACAACTTGCGCATCCAAGTTGTTGTCAGTTGCCTGGTCTGCAAAAAAAAGAGGGACAGAATCTACCACGAAGTTTGCCATAACACCAAGGTGGTAGGTCCAATACTCAGTCAATAGAGGTGGGTATGGTGTATACAGACTACAGTATCAGATGGCAAACTGAGGCATGAAACATGGCATTTTTCCGTGGCCACCTCAAATAGGGCTAATGATGTCTACTTCACCAAGATGATGACAACCCGGCTCTCAAAAATTGAACTTTGGATGACCGTCTGAATTTTTGAGAAGCCGCCAGTTTCGGGTTGTAGAGATTTGGGCCTGGATTGCTGCCTTTTGGATGTGAAGGTCTTGTTCATCGAAACTTCCAACCGTCATGGCTGTTGGTGGCTTGCCCTCGTTGTTCGAAGTTTTCCGTGACATTTTTAGCTGAGCCATCACTCCGATAAAGAATTGGTGGACCAGAGATACCAGAAATCCCCGGTAGTTGTGGGGCAACTAGCTGCAAGGTCTAACCTGAGCTGTACTCATGTTTGCTAACCCATTCATAACCCTTCGTAATCTATCCCAGCATTGAACCCCCCATCTTGAATGGGACAATCCATCCGTGTGGACTTTGGAAAGGTTAGATTCTCAGAGGGTCTCCCTCCGGTAACCCAACCTGCCTGGAAAGTCCTCCGTGCAAATCCCATGATGGTGAAATCCGATGAAGAATCCCCATGTTTTTCCCCAGTTTTTCCCGGTTTCCCCAGTGGGAAAAGCCCATGGCTTTCCGGGAGCCGAGGCGCTTTTCAAGGCGGTCCCCTTAGAGGCCGTGCGTCTGCCGCTGTGGGTGGAGCGGCCGCACCTTCTACAGGATGCGTTGAGGCGGCGCTGTGTGAACTGCCAAGCCATGGGGAGGATGTTTTTTTTCCCAACAGCAAAACTTTGCCATGGAGTCTTTGGCCCAGATTAGCTCCGGTGCGATCCGGTGCAGCTTCCACACCAGGTTCCGGGCAAGGTTCCGGAGGGTTCCGGTGCAGATACCTCGTGAGGTTCCGGAGGGTTACGGTGCAAATACTTGGTTAGGTGAGGTTCCGGAAGTTTCCGGTGCAGCTACCTGATGAGGTTCCGGAGGGTCTATGTGAAGATGCGTGGTGAGGTTCCGGAGGGTTCCCAGATACCTTGTGAGGTTCCGGAGGGTTCCGGTGCAGATACCTCGTGAGGTTCCGGAAGTTTCCGGTGCAGGTACTCGGTGAGGTTCCGGAGGGTTACGTGCAGATACTTGGTTAGGTTCTAGAGGGTTTTGGTGCAGGTACCTGGTGAGGTTCCGGAAGTTTCCGCCGCAGCTACCTGATGAGGTTCCGGGGGGTCTAGGTGAAGATGCGTGGTGAGGTTCCGGAGGGTTTCAGGGCAGATACCTTGTGAGGTTCCGGAAGGTCCGGTGCAGAAACCTTGTGAGGTTCCGGAGGGTTTTGGCGGAGAAGATGCTTGGTGAGGTTCCGGAGGGTTCCGGTGCAGATACCTTGTGAGGTTCTGGAGGGTTCTGGTGCAGATGCTTTGTGAAATTCCAAAGGGTTCCGATGTTTTTTTATGGCACAAGCACTCAATTTTTATGACATAAGCGCTTAGTTTTTATGGCATAAGCACTTTTTATGGCAAAAACACAGAAGCTTTCAAGCTGTTGGGGATAGCACCTGAGTTTATTTTTAAACATAGGACTTATGTTCTTCTATGTTTTTTTTTCTTTTTAAATATAGGACTTAAAGCTATGGTTCATTGGTTTTGAAAAAAGATAATGGAGTGATTTCGAACCATTAATCATAGTGAATGAATGGGAATATTCGTGGGAAGATTATGGGATTTATAACCAACTAGTCATCAATATTAATGATGAGAACATTTGGGATAATGATTGGGATATACCCTCCGGTGTCATGAAACGTGCTGGCTAGAAAGTCCCCGAACATTCCATGGAGGTTCCTAGCTGAGACAATTACCATAAAATCCATAAATGGTGATTAATTAACATTTTAAATTGAAATGCTATAGATTATATATAGTGGGTTTGACATCCCTGACTTGGATTAATATGATTAAAAGCCATCTCTACATGGGGATTTCAAGTGGGTATATCATTAATGATTCTTCAATATTGAACATAACTATTGAAGACATATGGGTGGAATTACGAATGGAGATGATGATTTCAGATTTCATGGGGAATTAACCAACTGTAATGGGGATATCAAATATATCTGGATAAATTTGATCACGACCTCCCTCACAATTTGTCACAATGCTAAATGGTGGTTAGGATCGGGGGGAATGATCTCCAATTGGCCTTACTTTTCAGGTTGGTAAATTATGACATATTTCAGCCAGAAGGGATTTGACACGAAAAGACCATCTCTTAAGCAATATGAAGAAAACATCCAGGGAAACAACAAACGCGTTTTTTTTTTGGTTTCCCCAAACAATGTGCCCACACTGAAGGGTTCTTACGGTAAGTGTAAAGGCCGGTGCTTGATCAGGGTGCTCACTCTGGGCCGCGGCATTTTACCTGTAAATTTCCATATAAAGTGGCGCTTTTCGACTGCGCAGGCTCGCGCAAAGTGCTCGTCTGCGTTCTGGGCTCATTTTGGTCTGTGGCGTTTTACTTGTAAATTTCAGTAAAACGTGGCTCTTGTGAAATCTTGACATGCATTTCGACTGTGCAGGCTCGCACAAAGTGCTCGTCTGCGTTCTGGGCTCATTTTGGTCTGCGGCATTTTACCTGTAAATTCTGTATAAAGTGGCCCGTGTGAAATCTTGACATGCGTTTCGACTGTCTTGCGAAATTTGACATGCGTTTCGACTGCGCAGGCTCGCGGCTCGCACAAAGTGTCTCTCTGCGTTGTACTTCTTGTCTTCTCTTGTCACGTCTTTTCGTCTCCTGTTGCCAGAGTCATCTACGTGATATGTTGTTTCGGCTCAAAGTGCCTTTGGAGCAATGGTCTCACGCATGAACCAACTCACAGAATAGGATATACCTGCAAAAAGTTGTTTGGAACGTGGCAGTGAACAAGCAAACACATTTGTAGCTTGCAGCATAGGAAGAAACACCCTTTTGATGATCCAAAGTACATATGGCAGAAATTGTTTGTCTCATGTCTGACGAAGCACCAGGTACATGAACATTTTTTTCTTGTTGTCTTGCCCAACATGCACATGCACATCAGCTAAATGATACATCCGGCCAGCGTCCGTCTTTAACATTACTTTGCGTCACACGTCCCTGCGGCCCCAGCCATGGCAACGCAATCTGGCACAGTGGAGACGGGTGGTCATGGTGCAGCAGCTGGATCCAGTGTCCCTGTGGCTGCGCGTGACACCGCGGAGCAGACTCTGTCCACTGCGGGAGCCACGCTTAGAGCGGACCTGGAGCATCTAGGCTCCTGCCGATTAAGCGGCCCTGCGGCGGCGCGGGCAAGAGATATGCTGCACGGTCTAGCTGGGAATGCTACAGCCTTGCGGAAAGCTTGTAGGAACGCAGGCGTCAGCCCCCCGCCGAACAGGCAGCAGCTGCCAGTGCAAACGCTCAGAAGTTTGCATTATCCACGTTAAAAGGTGTTATTCTACTACTTACCCCACATTGTTTGGGGTCTCTTGCCAGGATAATTTTTTATAATGGAAAAGGCATTCCTGACAGCTGAGCCATACAATCCCCAATTCTCCTTGCTTGGCAGGCCCATTTTGGAGGCTGTCTATGCTGCACCTACAGGCAGAGGGGGAAAGCTGCAGGAAATCGATGGAGGCCCCAAACTTGGGAACATAGCCGCATGTGCCATGGTCAAAAGTTGGGATTAACTCAGTCCTTGGGAGATGGTCATCCATCCAAGTCAACTTCGGGATGGACATAGCCATGATGTTGGATTCCATGATGGGATGGATGACCAAAAACTATGATTCCCATCTAATTTGACCATGGCACATATTAATCATGACCTTGAAATCATGGCCATAACCACAGGTTCAGTAGAAGGGAATCTCATGATCGGATCTTCGCCTGTGGATGCCTGTGGTGTGTGTGGTGTATCTGCATGTTTGCTGGTTGAGCTCAATTTTGGCTGGTGGATTCTAATATTAAATTATATCATTGGTTCAACAGAGTTTTCTGTGGGTTCGAAGGATGCATTTTTGCCGTCAACATTTCCCCAATCCTCCTTGGTCAGATCCCCGATGTTCTTGGAACACCTGAAAAAATGTTGTTCAAACCCCCAAATTCCTGACTTAAAGCAAAATGTTTCTTAGTCAAAAACTGGTAAACGCATGTGAAATCAAATCTTTTGTTGGTTACCCTCTGGTAAAAGTTTACATAACTATAGAAAATCACAATTTTTAATGGGTAAATCAACTATTTCTATGGTCATGTTCAATCGTCTTTTGTATGTTTACCAGAGCGTATGTCCATTTTCTTTGCTGTTCAGCTCTCTGAGGCGCCTCAGCCTGCCTTGTGGCGCAAGATTTGGCACAGCTCTGGGAAGCCTTGAGCCAGGCAGTTGCGTTGCCGTGGTCGGTTGAAACCATGGGGAATTTGACATGACTATATAGAATTATGTAGATATGACATGGGGGATATAACCATAACATCATAGAACTATAGTGACTATATATATATATATATAGTATTCACAAAATTTATAACCCATTGCAATGATGTACAATGCAAAATTCGTTTGATAAACCCGAAACAAAAAGGATGCTTTATGGGGTTGATAAACCAACAAACATCACTGGGGGGCACCGAACGGGTATGGGGTTATGGGCAGAGCATCCAAACCCTACGTGTGATCCTGGCAGGGCGGGGCTCGTCAAGCGGTTCAATCTGCTGGGCGGACAGGCGCGGCTAAAGTGCACCCCTCTTTAGGGGAAGCTGGTGTCAAAATTTGCCCGGCAGAAATTGTTGCAAGACCAACCCCCCCGAAAATGAGATTGATAATGATTAACCTGCGTATTCCCTTCAACGCAATGTTTTTTCGTGTTTTTGCGTGACATGAAATGCAACGAATCACACCCATCTGAGTGTCATCTTTGCCTCGCGAAGATGCTCCCGAGTCCTACTATCCACCGTTTCCCTTTGGTACCCTACAGACGTCACCCCATTTGAAGTTGGTACCAGATTTCTCCGCCACTGTTGGGTACAAAGGTTCTATCCGGTTTTCTTGCGTAATGCACCCGTTGGAAATGATGGATGGCAAAAAAAATCTGCGAGATCAGAGTACCTGGCTGGGCTGCGAACATTCCCGGGCATCATAAGTGGTTTATGTCCCTTGGGAAGGAATTTCCTGTGGTTACAGAATCTCTTCTGTGATTTGGTTATAGCCGATCTACTACTCAGTTACCTATGTAGTAGACCCAATCAGAATCCCAAATCATTTGTCTGATGATAAGTGTAGGCGGGCGGTCATGAATGGGTCAGCCCATTAAGCAACTGGAAGTACAGCCCGTGGGACGATTCTAGTGGATTGCCAAGCCATATCTCATCGAAACAGTGATTGGGTGATCATACCGTGCATCCCCCATGTATGGGTCAAAATGATCAGCCCCCAGGATGGTTTCCAATACTAAACATGACCAGCCGTTTCTTGGTAGAATCTCCATGGGAGAAATTGGCGAGGTCCCCATTTCTGTGGGTTGAAACAGCATTTTTCTTCGTTAGATCCCCCATGTTTCCCCTGGCAGTCGCCAGGTCTGACCACGTACCAAGCCAAAGTGCAGCGTGCCACTGCAGGCGCAAAGGTCAAACCGGTGAGATTTCGCGGGGACAATGGAGGTGTGAAACCAACAACAATGGGATATATAGGGTTAATCCCATCATCTAATTTATGGAACATCCCCATTGTATGGTCCCAATGATGTGGAAATTCCCTAATATATTATATTATATTATATTGTATATATATATTGTATATATATATATATGGTATATATATATGGTATATAAATATGGTATATATATATTGTGTATATATATATATTGTATATATATATTGTATATATATATATATTGTATATATATATATATATATTGTATATATATATTGTATATATATATACAATATATATATACAATATATATATATATACAATATATATATATATATTGTACACAAACTGTATATATATATCTGTTGCAAATATATTGAATATATATATATTGTATATATATATAGTATATATATATATTGAATATATATATATTGTATATATATATAGTATATACATATATATATTGTGTATATATATATATATTGTATATATATATATATTGTATATATGTATATTATATATATAAACATATATATTGTATATATATATATTTGGTATATATATATATACATTGTATATATATATTTTGGTTTTTATATTATATATATGATATATATATATTATATATTTATATTAATTATTATATATCATTTAGTTTATCTAATATATTATTTAATATCTATTATGTATTATTTATTTAATATTATTCACTATTTATAATATGTAATGTATTATAAATTATATACATTTTTTATATGATTTATTATTTATGGGATATTACATCTCATATATTATATTCAATATATTGTATACTATATCATTTTTTTGTATAATATAATATAATATAATATAGTATAATGTTAATACAATAAAATATAATATAGCCTAGAATATATATATATAATGTTTTATTTACATATATCCATGGATCGTTGGGAAAACATCTATTAAGAAAAACTATATATAAGCAATTTTCGAGCAAGCCATGTTTGACTACCGGAGGGTATAATAAGTTGGACTTGTATGAAAATTTAGGTCCCCAATTTTGGAAAATCACCATGGGACTATATTGTATCCCTGTTATATACCCATTACATCCCATAATCCTTTCCCCCTAATATATAGAAATATTCCTAGGTACATGTTGTCTATAGCTGGGAATATCATCTATAGCTGATATTCCAGTGACGCAGCTGATTACCAGAGGGTATACATTGTGATATAAGAGCACATAACATGATAAAACTGGGTGTGTCAAAATAGTGGATTTGGCACCCTATTTTCAGACGAGGCCGTGGGTTTTCCAAATAGTAAGGTCGCATCAAGAAGCATAGGCCCATTGTGCAAGTGATCAAATCCCAAAAGTTGTGATCAATTTCTTTTCTATCTTTTTGGGTGATATACATTGATATATCAGATATGTTCCTTTTTCATGAACTTCAAATCCCATTAATATCCCATTAATGCTCTATTTTCAATATTAACCATATATCAAGATCCCATTCATACTCCATTTACATTATTAATATCCAATTAGCTAGTCCCATACATGACCATAGTCGGTTGTATATGCCTAGTCGAACTATATCCCCATTGATACACCAGTAATATCCCATTCATATGCCACCAATATCCCATGAATTCTCCATTTACAATATTACTTATATAATCCTGCATGACCGTAGTTGGTTGTATATCCCCTTTATGACTCTAGTTGATTTCTATCCCCATTGATACACCGTTGGCACATGGGTAGACCATGGCACTGATACCCTCTCTCTATATATATGTACAAATATTTGCCACATTGAATAGCCTATTAATATCTATTAATCACCATAACTTGTATATGCCCACATGCTGCCGCAGCTTCACTCGGGTTTGCATCGCTCACGCCGTCCAACACGCCCATGCCGACTATGCATACGCCATGTCCATCCAGCACAGAGCCTTCCGACCTTGCCAAGCAACGACGCCTACAAGACTGCCTCCGTGATTCATTGCGTCGACCACTCTCATGGAACTCCTGGCAACAAGCTTTTGCACGCCTTGCGCGCTCTAGCTCTGTCTCCGGCACTTGCAGCGTCCATGACTGGCGGATACAGATGGCTCTCAAATTTGGTCAAGGCTGGCACCAGCCCCCACCTGAAGATATGACTGATCTGGCCCCAGTCATCGCTGCAGCCTTAGAACACCATACTGCTGCACAAGTACCAGCAGTAGAAGCTACCGCAGAAACACCGGACAGTGACGCGCTGGTGATGCTGGTGCAAAAGCATTTGCGAAGACCCTTGCCATGGAATGCATGGCAGCATCTGCTGGCGCGCCTCCACCGACATGTTCGCTCTCACCATGTCGACATTACTTGCTTGAACTATGTGGCTATCATGGAAGAGTCCTTTGGCTTCCAGTGGAAAACGGCACGACCAACGAGAAGTCGCATGGTCCGCAAGACCCTACAGGAAACTTGGAAGCTCTGCATCTCAGATCTTCTTTGTCATCGTCGACCACGCACCCGCAAGCGCATTCAAGGCCCCCAGCGTCTTCGCAAGATCATCTGCGAGCTGATGCAGAACGTCCTCGAGCTGTCCCCGGGCCTCCCATTAACTCACGCCCAACTCACACGAACACGTGCCCTTGCGCATCGTGCTCTCCGTAGTGTCGGTGGATTTCCTCGGCGCATGCACCCAAACAGCCTCGCCAACCTGATGTGATTGGCCTGGCTCTTACCTTAGATCTTGGCCCCTTCTTTTACTTGCAGCGAAACTGTTCGCAAGCCTGCATTCTTTTCCAAGACGGAAAAGTGACCATATAGCTTATACTCCAATCATAGCATTGAGAAAAGTGCCCCTGTGCCAGCCCAAATGATGCAATCAACCACCCTTAGACAATTTTTCCAAGACATCCTACACGGTCGACTTACTTCATGTCATCCTTGCAACGAAACTTGACGTGCCCGGGTCTCAACCGCGCCTTATACCATCTCAGGTGCAACGGCGTTCCTCGACCGTGCATGTTTGTGAGCTTCCTCCAGACCTCTGATAGTAGCAATCCCCACACTTTCCATCTCCAATAAAGTATTGCAACTGTCATAAAGTGCCTCAACCGAATGCCCTTTGGTTGAGGCAGTTTTTCGCTGCTGCGATCTAGAGGCGCCGTTGCTGTCAAGGAGCCGGACGCCTTTGGTATATGTAAGCACGTCAGCCAACCCACATTATTTCTAACAAATGCTTTGGTCTGTACATTCTTTCTGTGTCGTGTTACTTAAAGAATACAACCTGCTTCCGCTCGAGCACACAGACATACATTACGCCCAGTCGCTCGTATATTGCTTCTTGTCTCAGCCCCAACTTACCGCACAGTACTCTTGTGCTCATCCCGCAGCTTTTTTCTGGCTCATTTTGCTTCCAGCTCCATTTTGCATATCATGCCCTCTGCATTGCTGCTGCTTCTTGCTGCTGCAGACGTTCGCTTCGTGTTGCGCGGCTTTCTCGTTTTACCGTCTTACATGCTCCTCTGCGGCGCCGGCCGCTCACCAGATGCAAGCCTTGCTGAGCAACGTGCGCACCTCCGTGAAGCCCATCGTCTTTACAACTTTGTTATCGACAGTGTGCAGGCAGCTTTACTTGAAGGTGTCTTCTGTCCAGGCGCATTGGCCAAACAGCTTCGGGGTCTATCTTACTCGACACCGCAACCACTACGCTGCAAGTGCGCATCCGCCGCCTGTTCGCCCTCGCACCTGCTGATTCGCAGCCACTTGCTTTCGCCCCACACGTTCAGGATTGCAACGGCTCTGTGATGGCAGCCTGGCATCTGTACAATGCTGACACTCCCACATGGCTTTCCTTATCCGGCTTATTGACAGATCCACGAAGTCGCGTCAGCTTTTGCTACTTCTGCACATGAGCTGGCCAACGTTTCTTCATCGCCCACCTCCTCATCGAGACGCTTCGTTTTGCTCTCGTCTTTCAACATGGACCCGCTGCCGTGATCCACCTCGACTGACTTGCTGACTGCTGAATGAGCCCCTTGGCGCACAGTCGCTGCCGTCGGGACTGGCTGGCACCGCGGTATGCACCAAAATTGTGCTGTTGCGTGTTGCACCATGCGCGTCGGGACTACCATCATGAGCACTGCTACCTCCTCGCCAACCAAGCCATCCATACCCACAAGTGAAACCCTAAAAACTTCGCAAAGCTAACCCTTTCTGCCTCCAAAGGGTGACGCCCTATAGGACTTGCACATCTTAGCCCCTTCTGTTGCCACATGTTGCCACTGCACTCCAACGCGCGAACTCGCGAAAAGCCGAACTTCATAGCCTGCTGCATAACTTTTTTCATTGTGCGGCCAATTGCCTGGTTCATCTCGGTTCGAACTTACTGTGTAGGGGGGAAGGGCAGAGCAGCAGATTGACACTTCAAGATTCCAGTTTGATTCTGCATCAAGGACAGGCATTCCACTTGCTATGCCCATCTTACATGTCAAGCCAGCCGCAGATAGTCGCAGTGCCAAGTCAGAAATTGCAGACCCCACTAGACATTCGGTATACCGCTGGATAACATAACAGGATAATCTCGCTGAAATCTCTGACCAATGGATCGAAAGAAACACAATAAATGAAATTTCAACGGATACCCCCTGAAATTTCATGTAATAAAATTATTCAAGGGTGGTCTCATTATATATATATATGTGTGTATACATATAACATTCTATAGTTTCTCCACAATATGCGTTCTTCATTTCTGCTGTGCTACCCTGCACACAAACAGTACGGCATGCCCTCTCTCAGCCAAGCTTGGAACAACATGATTCCATGGAAGCCCGCAGAAAGGACAGGGAACCATGATTTCATACTGTGGCCTAGGCCAAACATCTGCACAATTTTGGGTCGGCCAGTGGGCCTCTTTGTTTCTTAGTTCAACCAATGTCTTGGGGTGACGTTTGTCAGAAACTTGCAGGACACTTCTTATGCTTCAACTTCGACCCTAGATGATGAGACCGCGTTCGGTGATGCCTGGAAAGTGCGCAAAAAGAAAAGAGAGGACAACGGGCCATTGTCTCATATCATGGGTTAGGCCAGTTAGGCTATCCCAGGTCAACCACCATGTGCGGTTTTTGTTGTTTTGGGGTTGCAACAACGCCCCAAGTTTGCCACTGGGCCCTTTTGTTGCCTAGTTCATTCGGTGCAACGGTTGATTGTCATGTGATGAGATTGGCCAGAAACCTGCAGGACACTTCTTATGCTTCAACTTCCACTCTAGATGATGAGACCGTGTTCGGCGATATCTATTAATCACCATTTTCATGACCTAGTTGAACCACATCCACATTGATACACCAGTAATATCCCACATTCACATCCGTTTCAACATCTCTATCTACCCCTCCTTGAACTATATTCCCGTGACATATCCCATACCGTATCGCATACCCCAATCTTTTATTTATAACAACCATATATCAATATCCCCCCATATCCCATAGAACCATAGTTGGTATATCAATATCCCCTATATATATTTATATATATATATCATATATTCAATATCATATCATATCATAGTTGGTATATCCCCTATTGATATGTATATATATATATATGTATATAAATATTCTCTCTCTCTATATATATATATATAATATCATATATCAATATCACTCAATACCCCATTGATATCCCAACCTGCCAGCGTTTCAGGCTTTGCCCTGCCACTGCTGTCCCACGCCCTGGACCAGCAGCGCCGCTTCGAGGGCGCAGAGGCGGCGGCCAAGCGGGGCCGTGGCAGCGCCACACGTGTCTCTGGTGAAATGGCTGGATGTGGGTGATTCTTTGGGGAAACATGTGATAATTATGGAAAACATATGGAAAACACATGGAAACCATATTGAAAACATATGGAAAACACATGGAAAACATATGGAAAACACATGGAAAACATGGAAAACATGTGGAAAACCCAATGAACAACTATGAACAAAATGGGACATGATGGAAAAGATAAGACCTAACTAGGAAAAATTATATGAACAACTATGAAAGACTATTGAAACAAACTGGATGGGAATATGCTGGGTGTGGATCTGGATTAACTCACTGGAGTGGTGGGTGATTTTTGGGGTGACACATATGAAAAAAAATACACATCCGAACTTTAATAAACTTTTGAAGCAATGTCTAGTTTGTTGGGGAAGAACGGGAAACAGGCGAGAAATTGATTGCGAATGAAATCTGATTTTTTGAACCGCCGTCAATGGATGAAACGCCAACTTGGACGAACGTGGAAGTTGGAAGGTAAGATTCCAATTCCATAAATTCATATAAATTCATATAAATTCATATAAATTCATATAAATTCTATATTCCCATGGTTCAATAATTGATAAGATAAGAAAATGTTTCAGAATATGTTTCGATGCCGACAAGTCCCCATGATGCTACTTTTTTAAGCCAGCCAGTCAAACTTGGAAGGTCAAAAATCGGTTGGTTATACCAGCTGAGGCGATGTTACCAGCTGGCACCAGGGGATGTGTCAAGTATGGTCACCGTGACGATTTTTTTTGCATATGACTTGACGAAAAATGGTAACTTGACCCATGAAAACTCATCATTTGAGCCATAAAAAAAGGTTTTTGATGGAAATTGGCCATCTTTATTGGTTTTACCATCTTCCATAATGGTGATTCTTCCATCAAAATCCATATGGCAACTTTTAATGGTTTTTGATGGAAAAATCACCATCCAGCACCACCGCGCTGACTGGATGGGTACCGTTGCTGGCCAAAAAAGGCGCCGAAGAGGTGGCCGCCTGGAAGGAAGCGGCATCTTGGCGACATCGCGATGATGATTCAGAAAAGCATGGGTAATTCAATTAGGCATTATAAGGATAACTATAACCATGTTTCATAAAACTTGGTATCATCATTATGAAAAACGATCTTAGCTAAGTTGATGGTGAACACAACTGTTGTATCACGACGTCACGATGCTTTTGCATTGATGGACTTTTGCATTCTGGTGAAAAGGCATTGTTTTTTTTTCTGGTTTACCAATTCATTCATGTTTTTCCAATAAAAAAAATATCATACATCTTGTCCCCCAACCATGTAGCTATAGTTGGTTGGTGGTTTCAAACATGAATTTTATTTTCCATTTTCTATATGGGATGTATAATGCTTCCCATTGACTTTCACTCCATCATTTTTCAGAGGGGTAGGTCAACCACCAACCAGATACTGCAGTATAGCTTCATGGTATGTTGACGATTCTCCCGATGGTGGATTTTTGGTCTGTCTGACCCTCATGAAACGAAGCGTCGTAGCGTCGCTTTTGGATTTTTAGGTGAGTGTACTTCAGCAAGGCTCCACCTCCCTCTTGCTGCCTGGATATTGGGAGATTGGGAGATTGGGAAAACGCTGAGGCTGGGTTAGATTCGTGGTGATTAATGGTGATTCATGGTGATTAGTGGTGATTTTTTCATGGCAAGAATGGTTAAGAATCTGGATGAGATCTTGGAGAATACCCAAGCTGGCTGGAAAATCAACTATTTATAGATCATTTTCCCGGCGAAAAAAACAGCCTAAAACGTTCGGGGATTTCCCGGCTATATAAACCGCCCCGTTGTTCATGACACGTTCGTGTCACGGGTGATCGTTGTAGGGTAAATCACTGGAAAAAGAGCTGGCTGAGTTGGGCCAGGGGGGAAGAGGATGCGAAAAGATAAACATGACTATCTATGGTGATATTTCACCAAAGATGAGAATATTTTAGTACACAACCAACTGATGGTGGCTACTGCAGATGCTTTGTTTGTTAGCTATGAAGCGGGGGGGAAATGCAACACCCAGCAACACCATTTTTGCACGGTTCCCAACACTCGCCATGTAGTGATCCTTTCTGGTGTCAAGTTTGGAGCCACACATTGCAGGTATTTTGGAGTATTTTTTGGAGCCTTAAACCATCATGACAATGCATGACAATGCATGACAATCCAACTTTACACGTGCCCAATCTTTTGACATACATAATGGCGCTGCTAAACCTCAGTTGGTTGATGATTTTCTTTGGGTCATACCTGGGCAATATATTGGAGATGATCAGAATCCATAAACTGCAGGATGGTGCCCTCAAGTTATAAGTTGGTTTATAACCCCATCTAAATAAAATTATAGATTATAAGTATGATACACCCAGTGTCATTATAGTTCCAACTGAACGCTAAGAAACTGGGCCCCCATCCCGTGGGAATCACTGGTTTTTGATGTCAGTGGAGATATCATCGTAAGCCATGGTGAAGAAGAATTTACTGACTTTACTTATCTTAAAAAATCACTTGGTGGGACAAGCCAGCACAAAGAAATTACTTCCCTCTATTCAATGGGATAAGCCATGCTTCAGATTGATATTTTCTTGGGATTTTCGGAGCTGAGGAACTCCCTGGAAGGGGCAGAGCATCTGCTGCAGGGACTCTATGCATCCTTGCGGGAGCCATTGCGCAGCATGTTCAAGGTCCGGGGGAGATCTGGAGGATTCCCGGGGGAACAGTGGTAGATGAGTAGCTTGTACGCTACTCTGTAGATATAACTGATATAACTTGATTAATACCGTAATTTTCTGTTGCCAAAAGATCTTGGATGATATTTGTATCCCGCTTTCTTGGACTTATTCCTGTGATGAATTCAATGAACATATACATCACTTACAATTAGTGGCACCTAGCGCAAGAGGCCAGCTGAAAGATGGGGTTAACCAACCCAAAAGATTCACCGGTGTCATCAAAGATGGCTAGCAGGAAAAAACCCTATGGCCCTAGAGGTTGATAGCTGGGATAGCATCATCTGCAAATGGCGGATTTTCATGGATTTTCCATATTTGAGTATTAGAGGGTATACCACCTGGTTATTTAACATAGCCATGGAAAATCACCATTTTTAATAGGTAAACCATCTATAAATGGACCATTTTCCATGGCTATGTTAAATAATCAGAGGGTACATCTACAACATATTGTGGAGTTGAACATGGCTCGAGCATATCCCAGACATGGACATCATCCGTTCCCTTTTTGGTTATTTCATACCCCCGGTAGAAACCCTGGTTTTTTCGTATCGGATGGGATGACCACAGGGAGAAACTGAATCGCATTTTTTCACCGGGGTGGAAGTCAAGCAACCGGTCTTTAAAGGAATTACCCTCTGGTTATGACTAACAGTTTGCCATGGTATAGATGGTCCATAGAAATAGATGGTTTACCTATTAAAAATGTGGTTTACCTATTAATAGCATGGTGATTTTCCATGGCAAACTGTTAGTCATAACCAGATGGTACTTGAATGGCAAGAGTATTTGAACATACACATGATATTTTGATTGAAATCCAGTGAAAGAATCGGCATCAATCGGGTATCAAAACTAGTGACCCATCGTCAAATTTTGAAACCATCCATGGCGGTCTCATTCCATCCATTTCCAACCGGGAACTCAGGTCATTTGCAGCAACTTGCGGGTGAAGTTTCTTTAAGAACCAATAAGATGCCAAAGGGAAATTAGTGGTGATACTTTTTGTGGTACTTGTTCAGAGTTTTCAAAAACCCAATTTACCTCGGGGTTATGCCGACAGCACTGGAATCCTTTCTCTCACCGAAGATGGGCTTCCGGCACTGTTTTACGATCCCGATGAAGTATAGATATCCACTGACCCCAAGAGTTATGTCATGCTATATCTATAGGTCAATAACTGGTTGGGGGTTTGGAACATTTTTTTGTCCCATTCAGTTGGGAATTTCATCCCAACTGACGAACTCACTCCATCATTCAGAGGGGTAGGTTGAAACCACCAACTAGATTATTATTGACCATCATTAACCATATAATAACCATTAATATTAATTAATACTAATAGTATATTACCAAGCAATGGTAATTATTCCACCAGTACTTCTTTGGTGAAGGGGATGATCGCTGCAGGAGTTGCATGGTGGCTGGCAAAAGCATGGTCGCTATCAGGGCGTGACCTAAGAGATTTTTCTTTAGAAAAAGGGCGGCGATGACAGATCTTGGTGAAAATCATGGGGGTCTGAAACCAAGAAACTTACCCTCTGGTGAACTAACATAGCAATGGAAAATCACCATTCTTAATGGGAAAATCCACTATAAATAGCCATTTTCCATTGCTATGTTAGTTCACCAGAGGGGACTATTTTCCCATCTGGTGTTGGGAATGATAGAAAATAATACCATTTTTGAATCTATTGGTCTATCATGATGTTTCCCCCAAAAATGGCGCCATGTTTTTTTGGGAAATACCACCAGTTTCAGACACAAAAACAGCAGCTCTTCCAGCTCTGCAGGGACACTCCAGGGATGATTTTCTGTTCACGAAATCTCCAGCGTTGCAGCAACACCCATCAGCAGTTACGGAAAAAATGGTGTTGAAGATAACCGGACTGAAAAAACAATTTCTGCGTTCACCTACGGCAAATTTTCACAGAAAATTCTTCATTTATAAGATGATTTACCCATTAAACATGGTGATTTTCGCTAGGTTGAATTACCAGAGGGTATCCGGCAGTTACGCTTAGGCTAGTTCACGACAATGATCTATGAGATGGGGATGGATTTTTGTTGAATTCTGTAGCGTTTGCAGCGGTCCAAGTCTCATCTTGACACCATCGCACGCGTTCACTGATCTCTGTGATCTTTGCCATGACGCAATACGAGGAGAGCAGTCAAACCTTACCATATGGTGCCTGAAGATGGGGTATGCCCCCCAAGGGCCATAATCAACCATCAAATTTTGGGGTCTTTATTTTCAGACAAACCCATGTTCTTTTTTTTTTGGGGGGGGATGACATCCATTCCTCAGCTATTTTGGGGTTCACCAGGGTACCATGGTTTTCGATCTATAGCATAGGCGTGAGTCATTTAACCTGATTGGCTTGGTGGACAAAAATTGATAAACATTGGACATGTTGCAAGAGGGATCCCAACTTGGAGACGTGAACAACCAAGAACAGGGTAGAGCTCCCAAGTCTGGTTTTGTTTTGTGAACCCAACAGGACAGATATAGCATGATATAGCGACGATTTTACATGGCACCTTTTCCATGGGCTCTGGAAGAGAATTTTAGGGGAAATGACTATTGGGCTCCATCTTGATCATCTTGACATCCGAGATCCAAAAGGTGAATTTCCAACGAAGGGATGGAGTTTTTGCCGATCTCCTGTCGATTCCCCAATTCATCAGATGATGCGGCCAGAAATCTATTAATTCTCTCCCCCAAACTTCATATATATATATATTATTATGTATATATATAATTATATATATACATTATATATATATATACATAATAATATATATATATATATACACATATACATCATAATATATATATATCTATTGTATGTCTCGGCCTTTCCAGATCCTGTTCCAATGGCAGATCCATTGGTTTCTGGACTTTGCAAAGCCATCGCCTGGAGGATTCCCAGGAGCTCTTGATCGAAGCACCAGAGGCTGGTCTTTTCGATCTTCGACTCTTCGACCTCGGAAAACGGCTTGGGCCGGTAGGATACCTTCAGTAAAGTAACAGTTGGACCCTGGTAGATATATAGGGGTTGGAAGATGAGTTTCCTCTATAAAAATTAGGTGATTTTCAGGGTCTATATATGTTAATTTACCAGAGGATATTTGGCCATTGAGAACTTGTTGTTCACCCACAACGCATTGGCAAATTGGGTTGGCTTCGGCCAAGGAACAAATCAGGCGATTTTGGCTTTCTTGGATCAACATGAAACTTGGGATCCCCCTGACGGACCAGGGACCTGACCAAGGAGAAATCTGATCCCCGGAAAAAGATATAGAAAGAGAGAAATCAATCAATCAAGCTTTTAGACCGGAAATCGGTATGATATGATATACTTCTATATACTTCTATTTTGGGCACCGCTATTAGCATGATCTGTGAAATCTGTGAGGCCATTTCCCAGTGACAAGGGTTTTCCCAGTGTCCAAATCAGGAGATCTATGGATGATCTGGTAAAAATTCTTGGCGGCTTCACAAAATTTCACGATGCATTGCATCCCAAAATATATCAGCTGAAAATTCTTGTTTCAACCGCCAACGTTTCTTTAGGAGTGGGTTGAACATGGTTTTTCAGCACTTTTAAGTCCCAACTTCCCATATCTTCCCATGCTTTGTTGCGCCCTGAATTCGTGTTGCGCCCCGCCTCTGGATTGATTTCCCAGTTTTCACCACCCTGCAGCTCGCCAGCATCCGAATCCTACCACTCGCAGCTTGCATTGGAAAGTGCTGGGTGCCGTCTCCGCCGTTGCCTTGCTGGCTGCACCTCGACGGAAGTTCCTCCGTGGGAGGTCAATCGGATGGTCTAGGCATGTGCTGGTGGTTTCCAGCCCTATTTTTGGATAGTTCAACCATGTTCAAACACTCAAGTTTGGGTGCTTAAGCTCCAAATTTTGTTGGTATAATAGTTCATTCCTCAATTTGTTTTTTTGTTGGTTAAATCACCATGTTGGTGCAGAGGTTGGTTTTTAGGTCCTTTTTTTTCACATCACCCGACTAAAAAGAGGATATCATAAGCTCCAACAGATACAAACGTGGCAATGGGAAAATCCATGATTTATACTTGATTCCCCCACTCAAACCCACTAGAACCTCCATTTACTTTGGGGATTTCCACTCTGTTTGACACTGGGCACTGGTACCGGGACAGGGCTCGCCCTGTGGCACTGTGGCTACCAAAACGCACAGGTGGGGTCCTATGTGGCCTACTCTGAACCGGTTCCTGCGCCACAGTGGCGCAGCAGCACGCGGGAAATGTTCACCTTTAGCAATGCATCATATGGAGGTTTCCGAAAATTGGGATACTGCAGATACCCCCCAAATCATCAATTTTTTGTTTGGATTTTCCATCATAAATCAGGTTATACTTATATGGCGGTTTGGGTTGGTGGTTTGGAAGTCTGGGAAATCAGAGTTATGTGCAAAATAGATTTGAAAAATGTGTGTTTTTTTTTTGTGTGTTTTGTATTTGTTTTATTTGTTGTTTAACTAATCTAATCTAATCTAATCCTAATCCTAATCTAATCTAATCCTAATCTAATCTAATCTAATCCTAATCTAATCTAATCCTAATCCAATCTCATCCTAATCTCATATCTCTCCTAATCCTAATCCTAATCCTAATCCCTAATCCCTAATCCTAATCCCTAATCCTAATCCCTAATAATCCTAATCCTACTAATCCTAATCCCTATCCCTAATCCCAATCCCTAATCCTAATCCCCTAATCCTAATCCCCAATCCTAATCCCTAATCCCTAATCCTAATCCTAATCCTAATCCTAATCCTAATCCCTAATCCTAATCCCTAATCCTAATCCCTAATCCTAATCCCTAATCCTAATCCCTAATCCCTAATCCTAATCCCTAATCCTAATCCCTAATCCTAATCCCTAATCCTCATCCCTAATCCTAATCCCTAATCCTAATCCCTAATCCTAATCCCTAATCCTAATCCCTAATCCTAATCCCTAATTCTAATCCCTAATTCTAATCTCTAATTCTAATCCCTAATTCTAATCCCTAATTCTAATCCCTAATTCTAGTCCCTAATTCTAATCCCTAATCCTAATCCCGCCTAATCCCTAATTCTAATCCCCAATTCTAAATCCTAATTCTAAATCCTAATTCTAAATCCCTAATTCTAAATCCTAATGCTAAATCCTAATGCTAAATCCTAATGCTAAATCCTAATGCTAAATCCTAATGCTAAATCCTAATGCTAAATCCTAATGCTAAATCAATCTTAATCTAAATCTAATCTAATCTATCTTTCTAAGTATCTGTCTATCTGTTTGTTTGTCTGTCTGTCTATCTATTTGCTTTTCTAATATATCATATCCAATATATCTATTTGTTTGTCTGTCTATATGTCTATCTATCTATCTATCTATCAATCTATCAATCTATCAATCTATCAATCTATCAATCTATCAATCTATCAATCTATCAACCAATCTCATATATCTACATAATCTATCTATTTATTTGTTTGTCTATTTTTATTTGTCTATCAAACTAGTCTAATCTTCTCTGATCTTATCTAATCTAATCTAAACTAATCTAATCCAACCTCCTCTCTAATCTTTCAAGTCTGTCTATTAATCTATCTAATCTATCTAATCCACCTAGTCTACCTTTTCTATCTGATCTATCTAATATGCCTACTCTATCCAAGTGACCTTACCTATCTATTCTATCTAAATAATCTACATGAAAGCAAAGCAGAGAAAAAAAAACAGTTTCTCTTGAAACAAATTCCATTGCGGTCCTATCCTGTACAGTACTCTGACTGATGCAGGTTTCATGGAGTTTCCATGGAGTTTCCATGCAGTTTCCATGCAGGTTTCATGTTGGTTACATGCTGGGTTTGCTGATTTAGCTTACTGGTGTGTAACCTCCATGACAACTCCCTCGAACCTGCATGGAATCTGCATGGAACCTCCATGGAACCTGCATCAGGCAGAGTGCATGGTAAAACCAACAAGTGTAGATAGAGGCATCACCTCCATAACGCACATGGAAACTGCATGAAATCTACATCAATTCTCCATGGAACCTCCATGAAAACTGCATCAGTTAGAAGGCGCCATGCAACCATCACGTTTAGACACAAGAAACAATGGAACCTACATGAAACCTCCATGAAACCTACATCAATTCTCCATGGAACCTGCATGGATACTCCATCAAAGAAGCGCCATACAAGCACCAGGTGTAGATACAGGGAACAGAAACTTTTTTTTAGTGGACACTACGTGGAAACCATCAGACGCTTTGACGCAAATTGATCGCAAATCGATCGTAAATCGATCGTAAACTGATCGTAAAAAAACGCACAAAAACTGTCATAGCATCTGTGCATTTTGATGTCGTTTTCACTAGGTCACTAGGTCATCTGTCTTTGTTGATGTCCCTTTTTGTTTCTGCACTGGAAAAGTCAATTTTTTCCAGAGTTTCTATTTATCCTGAGTGTTCACTGCTTGGTGGTTTCGATTTTGGCAAGGTTTCAAATGTGAATTTTTGTTTGATGTCATTTTGATGGAGTTTTATGTCTGTCTCGGTGTCAACTTGATGGAGGTTCCTAACATATAATATTGCAAACTAAGTTAACTAAAAGACGAAACCACCAAGAGAAATGAACTCACTTATGTCATCTTGGATTCTATGATCACCAAACCATATGAATATATGAATTGGCAAGTGCCGTTTTCTACAGGCCTTAGTTTCTTGTATTCGTTTTTAGGCCGATGTCAAATCGATCGACAAAGGATCGCAAAATGATCGCAAAACAACGTCGAAATCCTACATCAAAATGACAATATTACAAAGTCCACACTTGAAACCCTGGCCTTGCCAACATCAAAACCGCCAAGCAACGAACACTCAGGATAAATAGAAATTCTGGAAGAATTTGACTTTTCCAGTACAGAAACCAAAAGAAACATCAGCAAAGACAGATGGCCTAGTGAAAACGACATCAAAAAGCACAGATGCTATGACAGTTTTTGTGCGATCAATTTAGTTACGATCGATTTGCGATCGATTTGCATCAAAGCGTCTGATGGTTTCCATGTAGTTTCCATTTAAAAAAACTCGAACATGTTCCCTGTATCTACACCTGATGATTGTATGGCGTCTTCCTTGACGGAGTATCCACGCAGGTTCCATGGAGAATTGATGTAGGTTTCATGGAGGTTTCATGTAGGTAACCGTTGTTTCTTGTGTCTAAACGTGATGGTTGCATGGCGCCTTCTAACTGATGCAGTTTTCATGGAGGTTCCATGCAGGTTCCATGGAGAATTGATGTAGAATTTCATGCAGTTTCCATGTGCGTTATGGAGGTGGTGCCTCTATCTACACTTGTTGGTTTTATCATGCACTCTGACTGATGCAGGTTCCATGGAGGTTCCATGCAGATTCCATGCAGGTTCCAGGGAGTCGTCATGGAGGTTACCCACCAGTAAGCTAAATTTGCAAACCCAGCATGTAACCAACATGAAACCTGCATGGAAGCTCCATGGAAAATCCATGAAACCTGCATCAGTCAGAGTACAGGATAGGACCACACGGTTTCAAGAAACTGTCTTTCCCCATTTCAAAAATAAATAGACAAGTACAGAAAAATGCACTAGAATTCAATAATCAATTAAACAATCACGTGAAATTATTGGACATTAAATAAGTGTACAATTTCCGAGATACAAGATGAATATCAATTCAAAAACAAACCTAATCTGGTAGCAATCATTGTTGTTTTAAATTTGTTTTCTTTATTTTCAACGACTTCATTGTTTGCAGGGTTTGACATTTTTTTGTTTTTTCTAAGTTTACAAAACCATCAATTCCCAGACTTCCAAACCACCAACCCAAACCACCACGTAAGCACAAGTTGAATAAACCATCCAGCGAGCTGGGGGTACCCGCATGACTTAGGAAAGCACTACTGTATATGATACTATATGTATATTTGTCATTCGGGGTGAGGATGGGGTGGGGTGGGGTGCGGCAGTAACGTTCATGTCAACTTGAGCACACACACACATACACATCATGCTACGCTCTTGGATCTTCTTTTGCACTTGCACACACACACACGTCATTCGACGTTCTGGGGTCTTCTCTTGCACTTGCACACATACGTCATGCTACACACTGGGATCTTCTCTTGCACTTGCACACACACACACACGTCATGCTACGCTCTGGGACCTTCTCTTGCACTTGCACAAACCTGATGAACTCATATATTCTGAAATCCAAAAGTTAGTTTCGGAAACTGTGCTTTATACCTCTTGAATGACCAAAACCAGTGTTTGCCCTGAAATATATATGTAGTAAAAAGACCACAGAACATAAAACCGCTTGTAATTGACTGTTCCGAACGCATTCCAATTCAGTTCTCCACAACTTGAAAACCACTTCTTCTTGTCTTGGCCACAAATCACGCGCGGGTTTCTATGGACGTGCACCATTTATAATAGAACCGGGGTAAATTTGAAGCTTTTCTCTCTTTGGGGGGGTTATTGTACATATTGATGATTGATCCTGTTCCTTTTATTAGAAGATGGGATACGGTTCACCTACCCTGGTGGTTTGATCCGTCGAAACAAAATTTTACGACCCCCCAGCTGACATGTTTATGGATGTGTACAGACGGTACAGATGACATAGGTTTTTTGATGTTTTTTGGGGGGGTCCAAGGGGACCCTACTAAAGACAGATGACATGGGAAGGAAATCAGGGAAAAACTGCAGAAAACATACGACATATACAATTTCCTTGGTTTTGGGTTACGGGGGGAACCTTGTTTTTTCTTGCCATTCCTGCACATGACATAGGACTTAAAAGTAGCTGCGTTACATATTTTGCATTTTTGACCTAGTGATGAAGATGCTTGGTTCCATTTCTTACCCCACCCTCCCTAAAACTATCAAACGTTCTTGGCATGACTTGCAGGTACCAACAAGGGTTTCGCACCATCTAAAAAATTCCAAAGAAGGCATTTCAATCTCCTTGTGCGATTTTGTTCCCAACAAGTAACCGTAGTTTTGGACTGGTTTAGGGTGGGAAAAAAACACCAATTGATCGTCGCGACCTCGGTTGCCATCGCCCAAGGAAAGCGAACCCTATGGACTTTGTGCAAGATTGGGAGGAGTGACACGAACATGTCTCTATGCTCTACATCTATATCTATATCTTGAATATGTATAGCAGATACATATATGTGTGTATGTGTGTGACATAGATATTACATATATATATATATAAATATTTTTTCTCTCTCTCTCTCTATAATATATATATATACATACATAGATATTCATGTAAAATGTGCGCATTTTTGTGGGTCATCGATCAGGGCAATCGAAATATTCGTTGCGTTTCAGGAGATTCCAGGGATTGACACAGTCATTGAACACGCCAAGAGTGCTTTGGCAGCGGCTAATTTTTTGGGGCGGCCCCGGTTATGAGGCCCCGGTGAAATGATAAGTTGTTACGCACAGAAAAACATTGGTGAATAAACTATGGTTGATGAATGGGGGATTATGATGAAATATCATGGGGATATTTCAACTAATGTTGGTTCCTGATTAGTGTGAGGCCCCCCCCCTCCCCCCAAACAATATTTGGACTCTCTTTAAGGTGGAAAGTCAAAAAAATTCTTCCCAAGAGAAAAGCAAATCCTCACTTAATTAAGGATTTCAATTGGCTACAATTTAAATCTAATTAAATCTGTTTTTTGCCGATGAACTTGTGGTACTTGTAGTACTTGTAGTACTTGTAGTACTTGTAGTACCTGTAGTACTTGTAGTACTTGTAGTACTTGTAGTACAGTATTTGTAGCACCTGTAGTACTTGTAGTACTTGTAGTACCTGTAGTACTTGTAGTACTTGTAGTACCTGTAGTACTTGTAGTACTTGTAGTACTTGTAGTATTTGTAGCACCTGTAGTACTTGTAGTACTTGTAGTACCTGTAGTACTTGTAGTACTTGCAGTACTTGTAGTACTGGTAGCACTTGTAGTACTTGTAGTACTTGCAGTTGTAGTACCTGTAGTACTTGTTGTACTTGTAGTACCTGTAGTACTTGTAGTACTTGTAGTACCCACAGCTTGCACAGCTTGCTACAATAGTGAGCCCAGCAAACAAACCTACTAAAGTGAAATGGAGCCTCCTGGTCCAGGGCCTTGGAAAATTGTGGAAAAGCTGTTCCTTAATAAGGGTTTAATAAGGGATTTGCTCCTTTGGGAAAGGCTTGGAGTTTGAATTTGGCAATTGCTTTTGGAAAAGGCTTGCTTCTCTTTTGGGCTTCCAGGAGCTGCTCTGGCACAGCTTGCCACAATAGTGAACCCAGCAAACAAACCTACTAAAGTGAAATGGAGCCTCTCCTGGTCCAGGGCCTTGGAAAATTGTGGAAAAGCTGTTCTTTAATAAGGGTTTAATAAGGGGTTGGCCCCTTTGGGAAAGGCTTGGCGTTTGAATTTGGCAATTGCTTTTGGAAAAGGCTTGCTTCTCTTTTGGGCTTCCAGGAGCTGCTCTGGCACAGCTTGCTACAATAGTGAACCCAGCAAACAAACCTACTAAAGTGAAATGGAGCCTCTCCAGGTCCAGGGCCTTGGAAAATTGTGGAAAAGCTGTTCTTTAATAAGGGTTTAATAAGGGATTTGCTCCTTTGGGAAAAGCTTGGAGTTTGAATTTGGCAATTGCTTTTGGAAAAAAAGTCTTCCTCTCAGCAATTACAGGTTGTTTTTTTGCCAAAAAAAAATCTCCCATTTTTTTTTGCAACAAAAGTGAGCCCTCCAAACAATACATGGGTTTCAGAATAATTTGGAGAAAATTTGCCACAATAGCGAACCTAGCTACTAATCAGGAGCCAACATTAGCGGAACTAATGCCGAACGTAGATCCCTTTCCCCCTTTCGATGATCCCATTGGTTTGCTCTATGCTAAAACTGAAAAGAAAGAATCTCTGGGTGGTGCTTTGAAATACATTCAACGTTGATCACCAGGGTAACATATACATATATATATAAATATGCATTTGTTGTTCTACTTAAAATACTGGAAATCCAAGCTTTCTGGAATTTACTCAACATTTATAGGGGGAGATATCTCTGGTAATCCAGACTTTCTTTTCATTGCCGGCTTGGAATGGTGGTGGTCCAGATTAAGTCTCTGCCACGAAACAAAGCTCCAACAGCTTCAAACTCGTGGTAAACCAAATCACAATGCCCGCTACCCACAAACACTACGGTTCATGATTGGTTTACCACACTTCTTAGCCTTCATTTCAGGTGGTGTAACATGAGCTACTGATGGCTGCATTCGACACTCCAACATAAATCCATATCATCCATGCCATCCAAATCATCAGATATCATCTAAGTTCACATCATCAAAACCATGATCCTTTCGGGGGATTCTGACATTCGAGTTTTTCCGAGTCTCATGTTCACCAGCCTGTGATAGCCCTTCGCCCGGCAAGCCCTTCGCCGCAGCGCGCCGTGCTTAGCCTTGGAGTTGAAGCAGCCTTTGCGCAACCTCAACGACTTATTCTACGTGCCCTGGCATCGAGTCCAAGGGAAAGCCCAAGGGAACCAAAGAGTTTGAGATGGGTCTGAAAAGGTCGGTTGGAGACCTCAATTTATGACGAGAAGAGGAATTCTTGAGGTTCTCAAAACCATTCAAAAAGGGGAATGGTAGGTCGGTTGATTTAGAACTCGGCTAACGATTGGATTCACGGTATATATATATATATAGATAGATAGATAGACAGACAGACAGATAGATAGAGAGATAGACAGAATAGACAGAATAGATAGAATAGATAGAATAGATAGAATAGAAAGAATAGAATAGATAGAATAGACAGAATAGATAGAATAGATAGAATAGATAGAATAGATACGAATAGAATAGATAGAATAGATAGAATAGATAGAGTAGATAGAATAGATAGAATAGATAGAATAGAAAGAATAGATAGAATAGATAGAATAGATAGAATAGAATAGAATAGATAGAATAGAATAGATCCTGAGTATATTTACAGTACACCCATATATGTCTGCATGTATTTACACACACATATATATATATAACTAGACCCCCCAATCATCCCTAGGAGTCCCAGCCCGAAGAGTTGCCATGGATTCGCACGGAATGCGTCATCGACGTCATCCAGGGAGCTGCCTACCTGGGACAGGCCGTGGTCTTCCTGTACAAGGCTGGAGGGGATGATGGGGATGCTGGGGTAAAGGTGGCTGGTTGGGGTGGAAAACATGAAGAAAACTTGGGATTGAAATGCTCAACATCACAAATTGCTATGGGATTTCATTTTTCTTACAGTTTTCGTTGCCGCAACACGTGCTTTTCATCTTGAGTCCAGTGGAGAAACTGCCTTGCTATGGGTCAAGCACCACCCGAACTTCGGGACACTATTCGGGGATCATCCAACTGAGATGTCCCTGAAGCTGAGACACCCTTTGGGATCAATTTCCGCATATCATGGGTCTGTCTGAGGTCTCATAAAAAACCATAGTTTATCGTTTACCATCATTTTTGTCGTATCTATTTATTGGGCGTAACACACCCCATTTCAGAGAAAACCCACATATTTTTCCCATTTTTCCCATGTCTCTTTTTTTTCCCAGCTATTTCCCCCGGCCATTGCCTTTTTCAGCGCCCAGGCCATCAAGTACGACGGCATCCGCTGCCCCGACAACTCGCCGGCCGGCTGTGCGGCCAGCATCGCAGGCTTCATCACCTCGGTGACCTGGAAACTGGGCGTAGCTGGAAGAATATTGACACCAAAGGGGCGATGATTTTGGTAATTTTTGCCACATCATTTCATGTTGACGAATGCACATTTCGGAACATCTGCGAAATGAACATCCGCGAATGCGAGCTGGCCCTTTGCAGTGGGGCTGATCTTGGGGGGCCGTGTGGTTTTAAATTGCTCTAAGTCCCTGTTCTTGTGGATGAAATCCCATATCTCTGTTGGCTGTCTGTTTCAAGATCTGGGCATGTGTACGGCCTCATTGTTGGCAGTTCTGGAGGAATGTTAATGATAATGACTGAGCCAAAAACCAGTTGAACTCTAGCGTGTTCGAGATCGCTTATTCTTGGTTGGCAAATTTCTCCATGCTGTTTGTCGGCTCAGCTGTGAAATTTATCCCCACTTCTGGTTGCATCCAAAACAAAAAATCCCCGTCTGGTTCTGCTGGTGAAGTCACCAAATATGTCACCATACCAAGATAGGAGGGTTGCTGCAGGCGATTTTATCAATGGGAGGGAACAGGTCATTTTAACTCTAAAAAAGTACCCTGGTTTCCCCCCTAATGTATCTGGGGTTGCCAGGCCCAAACATATCTGGGGTGGCTAGGGAGCGCCCCTAAGTCTTTCATGCTGAAATCCCATGAATTTTCGCTGTGCTTGGTCCTGGTCCCCAATCTTTGGATCGTTGAAACATCCCCAATCTTGGATCTTTAAACTAGTTAAACTCTGGTGAACCTCCAATTTTTCATGGTTCCTCCATCCCAAAATCATCGAAAATCTCAGGATCGCCTCCTACCTCTCCTTCGCGGCCAACGCCTGCGGTGCCGCTGTCAACAGCGGAGCCCTCTGCGCCGGAGACTGGACGGCCTTGATGGCCAACTTCGGCGAGATGGCCACCGTGGGCGCTGCGGTGAAGGAAGACTGCGACTTCGGCAAGGCGCGGGTGAAGAAGTTGGGTGGGGCCCGAAAGGTGGAGCTCAAAAAACATGTTCCGATTTTGGGATGAATTATGAATGATGGAAATGGATCTTTTTCAGAAGGGTTGAAACCATCAACCAGTTGGGGTGGGCCCCCAAGAGTGGAAACCAAGAGGGGAGTTCAGCCAAATTTGGGACTTTGAAGTAATCAAGATGGCGTTCGCGAAAGAGCAAGGATAAGGATTTCAGCAGCAAACGTGCCGACATGATGGGTCAAAACCTATACCAACTATACCAAATTTGGATGGGACAAACATCCAGCCAGCTATTTTGATGTTCATCAGCATACCAGGCTCTCGATCCGTATTCCATATTGGTTCGTATGCCAGAAATGGTCGGATGTCACCAACATGGGTTGGGCCAATGGTGGATTCAACATGCTGATCAACCAGAGATTTCAGGGCTGAGGAGTTGGTGGGGTGCTGCATGGGTGGTACATCGACCCCCAAAAATCAAAAAATAAGATGTGTGATTTTTTCGACTTCCGGGGTGCAGCAAAACCGCAGAGACCCTTCTTCTTTACTGAGTTTACTTTTTTGGGCCTTGTTTGGGGGGACCAATTGACAGCATCTCTTATGTACATTTTCAGGCTGATGGGGGTAGAACCCCAGTAACCAGGGTATTTGCAAGCTATAACTCCAGTTGAGTGGACCACCGTTAAGCTCATTTCACAACCATTTTCCCAGTTACAGGGGTATATATTGGTCTTACCTCCACTAAATTACTATAGACCCAGAACGTATCATTTTAAAGTAGAAACGAGTCTTTCAACCACCAACTCATGGCAAGGTCTATGTTGGTCGGGGGGATGATCTGCTAGGACTGGCTGGCACTTTTGAAGATCACTGGCACTGACGATGCAGGAGACCGTGTAAGCCAGGGATAAGACAGGGTCCATGCTTTCAACACATACTTTGGTTTCCTGAAATAGGGGTACCCCCAAATCTGGCCAAATCATCCATTTATAGATGTCCACTATAAACCATCCATTTTTGGGATCCCCCATTTTTTAGGACCCCCATTAATTGGCAAAGCCAGAACATGCCAGAACTAGAAACTGCCTTTTAGTGGCTGGGATTTGACCAAAGCCTTGCCAGAAAACCACAGACCTGAAAAAACAACAGTTTTGACGTTTGTTAATCTTTACTTTGTTCACACTGTTTGCGGAATATATTGCCACCTTTCTTACCTTATCGCGCCAATTATATATCATTGCTGCTGTAGGATGCCTGCCTATTTTTCCATCTTCCCAAACTTTTTACTCCCCAAGTGTGTTGCACTATTGGCTCCCGTCCAACAAACGGGGATCCCGTCCCCTTGCTTCGTTCTTAGAACTGTGATGGGTCAAGTTATGAGGTTCCCATGGGTGCTTTGTGGTTGTTTCTTGGTCTTGAATGGAGCAGTGGCTGCCATCCCTGTTGGTTGATGATTGGTTCGGGGATTACACTACCCTTTACTGTATATATACTGTATATATATATTATAACAATCCAAGGTTCTTGGAACCCCGTTCTTAACAAACCAGTATCTCAAGGATTAGAAAATACCCATCCCCTCCACTTCTGCGAACTTCGCATTTTCAACCTCGACTTATCTCCGTTTCCTGAACTTTCCATCTCATTGTTGATGATTGTTGATATATCCCATGATCGATCCAACAAAGTCCCGCAATGTTCCTGTGATATATATATATATGATAGCTACTATACCTACTATACCTACTATATTTCCAATATGATTTCAGTCTTCATCCCATTTTTGCCCCTTGGGCAAGCCATGTTTCCCATGTTTGGCAGGCCCCGGCTGGAAGACCTTCGTCCCTGCAGGGGCCTTGCCCACCGTGGAGACGGTCCAGAAGGTGGACGCACTTCACACCGCAGCTGGACGCGAAGATTGGGGTGGCACTTTCTGGGTGACCGAAACGGCCGTAGCTTTTTCCAACTTTTCCCAACTTTTCCCACACTTTGCTAATCTGGGCTAAAGAGCCCAGATTAGCTCTGGTGCGATCCGTTTTTTTTTGTTTCGTAGAAATAGATTCTGTTTTTTTATTGACATATATAAATATAAGTATGTGTGTATTGATATATACAGACATATAATTAGATATATACAAGTTATATGTATATATATATACACACATGTAGTTATACATATGTATATAGATACATAGTTATGCTTTATACACATATGATTATATATGGTACAGGCCTGCAGCCCCACCCGCCCAGTCATGGTCATGGTCCCATTCCTGGTCCTAGTCCCCGCCCCCCCTGTGGCAATGGGGGGGTCTCTGGTATGTATTTAATGTCATGTACTGTAATGTTATGTTATGTTATGTAATGTTATGTAATGTTATGCATGGTTATGTCATGTTATGTATGGTTATGTGATGTTATGTAGTGTATGGTTATGTAATGTAATGTATGGTTATGTTATGTAATGTATGGTTATGTTATGTAATGCATGTAATGGATGTAATGTATGTAATGTGTGTAATGTGTGTAATGTGTGTAATGTGTGTAATGCATGTAATGCGTGTAATATGTGTAATGTGTGTACTGTGTGTAATGTGTGGAATGTGTGTAATGTGTGTAATGTCTGTAATGTCTGTAATGCCTGCAATGTCTGTAATGTCTGTAATGTCTGTAATGTGTGTAATGTGTGTAATGTGTGTAATGTCTGTAATGTCTGTGGTGTCTGTAATGTCTGTAATGCATGTAATGTATGTAATGCATGTAGTGTATGTAATGTTATGTAGTGTAATGTTATGTTATGTCATGGTATGTTATGTATGTTATGCATTTTTTTGGATATTATGCATGTTATGCATGTTATGCGTGTTATGCATGTTATGCATGTTGTGGATGCTATGCATGTTGTGGATGCTATGCATGTTATGGATGCTATGTATACTATGTATGCTGTGCATGTTATGCATGCTATGCATGTTATGCATGTTATGTATGTTATGCATGTTTTGTAATGTATGTAACGTATGTAATGTATGTAATGTATGTAGTGTATGTAATGTGTGTAACGCGTGTAATGTGTGTAATGTGTGTAATGTGTGCTATGTATTGTATGTATGGTGGTATGTAGGTGTGTAGGTATGTGTGTAGGTAGGTGTGTAGGTATGTGTGTAGGTATGTGTGTAGGTATGTGTGTAGGTATGTGTGTAGGTATGTGTGTAGGTATGTGTGTAGGTATGTGTGTAGGTATGTGTGTAGGTATGTAATGTAATGTAATGTACTGTACTGTAATGTAATGTAATGTAATGTAATGTATGTATGTATGTGTGTAAGTATGTAGGTATGTACTGTAGGTATGTAGGTATGTAGGTATGTAGGTATGTAGGTATGTAGGTATGTAGGTGTGTAGGTGTGTAGGTGTATGGGTATGCAGGTATGTAGGTATGAAGGTACGTAGGTACGTAGGCTCGTAGGTACGTAGGTACGTAGGTATGTAGGTAGGTAGGTTGGTAGGTTGGTAGGTTGGTAGGTTGGTATGTTGGTCTGTAGGTATGTAGGTATGTATGTACGTAGGGATGTAGGTATGTAGGTATGTATGTATGTATGAATGTATGTATGTAGGCATGTAGGTATGTAGGTATGTAGGTATGTAGGTATGTATGTAGGTATGTAGGTATGTAGGTAGGTAGGTATGTAGGTAGGTATGCAGGTATGTAGGTATGCAGGTATGTAGGTATGTTGGTATGTAGGTATGTTGGTATGCAGGTAAGTAGGTATTTAGGTACGTAGGTATGAAGCCACGTAGGCATGTAGGTATGTAAGTCTGTAACTATGTCAGTATGTAGGTATGTAAGTATGTCAATATTTAGGTACGGTATGTAAGTATGTCAGTGCCTAGGTAGGCAACTTGCAAGTATGTCTGCCTGCCTGGCTGGCTGGCTGTCTGCCTGTCTGTGATCTTGTCTTGTACGTGCACAGACGCTTTATGTTGCCTGAGACCAACAGAAACATTTGCAGGCGGCGGCAGCGAACAAGCGGCCAAAGGCAGCTTGCAGCCCAGCACAACCGGTGGTCCCGGCACAGTTTGCAGAAGCCAAAATTCAACAAGGGGGCAAAAATTTTAAAGCCAAAATTTCAAACAAGGGCCCGCCGGAAGCAGCACCGCACCCGCGGACCCACAGTGCTCCTGGCCACACATGCCAGGCAAAGGCGGTACCGCCCCGCCGGATTAGCTGGCTGCCGCTGCATGCAAAGTTGGTTTGCCGGATCCTCAGGGGGACTGAGACCGAGGAAACATGAGAGTATTCAAAATACGTCCTGTTTGGACATCGCCTCCCCGTTCATTCGCCAGGGCTTTGGAACTTGGAACAGCTTGTTCCATCGACGCCAAACCCTCTGCTACCAGAGAACGGTGCAGCTCTGGTAGCACAACTGGCGCGGGCCTCAGCCCGCTAACCGCAAAATCAGAGAGCGGCAAGGGCGACGCGCACCGACTTGCGCCGCAAGCCCTGGGTGTCTCCAAGGATGCAGTCCAAGCGTGGCTCCCCGAGCTGCACGCTTGGCTGCTCCTGAAGCCGGTGCATCCGGCCCTGGATGCGCCAACGGCCGAGGCCGATGAAACTAGATGAAACACACAAAAAGAAAAAACAACAGACAGTCAACGCTCCGCCGTGCAGGCAACACGGGTGGCACGGCAGGCAGAAAAACGGGCTGAGAAAAAACGGTTGGAGGAGGAGAAACAAGCAGAGGCTCGGCCGGCGGAAGAAGCTGTCCTGTCGCGAATGCAGCCAGCCAGCGGCCGCGGCGCCGCGGCAGGCGAAACGAAAGAGCCAAGCTGAGAAGAACAAAGCCCGCAACAAGAGGCGCAGAGAGTTGCGCCAAGAAGCGCGCCAAAGCCAGGACCCTGAGGCGCGCGGGAAAATCGGGAAAGCCCGGACCGTCCGATGTAAAATGGTAGAAGAACCTATCTTTTCAACGAGGACCACTATAGA